AATCATAATCGATTGCAGTAATGAGGAGCACAACAGTCTAAGAGATGACCTAGCCATGTCGAATACCGTCATATCAAGGGAGGGGGGGGGTAACCACGGCCTGCCAGGTCATCAAAAGAGATAATGAAGCTCTCGAACCTGAGAACCACTGGCCTAAGATATTCGTGAGCAAATAACAATCTGGCTTGTCAATGAATTATTCGACTCACATGATCGGCCGCATTAACGCAAGACGGATATTTGGATAGCAGATATCGAACTGCATTCATTTGACCATGTAGAAGTGCCTTATGCAGTGGAGTCATCCCTTCAAACATTCTCAAATTTATTAATGAACACCTTTCGCAACAAAATCCTTTCTTAGCACCGCTATTCATTTCTATGTTCCGAACATATCAACTGCACATGAACGAGCAATAAAATATACGAGCAATGAAATCAAACTGAATATGACAGTTCATTAGTTCAACTGATGTCTTACAGCTGTGATGAAGTCAGTTTGAAATAGAAATGTAATTCATCGTCTTATATGAAAATTATATGCGAAGGAAAACTTAAAAGAAACTAAAACGATGAATGCTAAGAAAAGTTCCTAACAGGAGAAAATCAAAACTTAAGAAGATCGCACACCGTAAGTATCTCGTGCAGTGGCCAACTGAGGACGATCGATTAACGACTTAACACGTCTCACATCACCGTCTTCAACAGCCTTGTGAATCGCATCAATTTTGGCCTGAAAATTTGTTCATTTCCGCCAAATAAATTCAATAAATGTCGTAACTTAAAGCCAATCATTTCATTTCATCTCACGAATCACAACTCTCAAACCGGCAAGATTCTACGCAGCAGTTGAACATGGCCGTGAAAATAACCTGATACTGCTGTATTCCTTGAAGAAATTCATCAGATTCCAAATTAGCTGTCTTCTTGTCGATTAAAAGATGAACGCGACCGTCCAACAATATTTGCTCTAACTTTTGCACGTCTCCTACAGATATCCATTTCTCGACGTCTTCTTCACTTGGAGCATCTACAATGGATTTCAACGAATAGGATCTCGAATGATTTTAAGTGGTTAGTTTGCTTGACGATTCGAGCATTATAGTGGGCGATTAAAAGAATTGATCTCGTCTAGCAAAAACCACCTGCTTTCATTAATATTATAACAGTGTGGTGAATGATTGAATGACCGATTAAGAAGACACGCATTGCTACATGATAAATGATATCTACAATGGATTTGAGATAAGATATTTTTGAATTTTGTTACTTGAGATTTCTTTCGAGAACATTTGTCAGCATCCAAAAAGATCCGCTGTACCTGAAGTGTCTTTAGCAGATATCCTAACGAAGTCTTCTGGATGAAGATCGGTGATGAGTGATTCAAATGACATTCAAGGATTACTTCAGTGCTTTTCTTTGAAAGTCGTTTATATACGCTTAGAATGGCGTATGATTGCAGAGTTGCAAACACTCAGAGGATATGCTTTTCATGTTAGTTGGTTTGCCTCATTTCCGATTTCGATAATTGCACTCAATGAACACGCCTACCATTTAAGGGAGAAGACTTATCCTTAGAAGTACTTTACAATGATTCAACACACAATGACGTAAGTACAATTACGTCAAAAACTGCGTTCGAGACATCACTCGGAAATGGAAAAGCTAATTTGAGTCAGATCAGATTGATGTATGAGCTGATTAGATCGAAGTCGAATGATACGTTCAATAAGCTGGCGGATAACCTTTAGTGCAGTGAATAAATCAACTAACCGCTTAGAGGACTTAAAATGCTGTCTTCAGTTGGAGAGACAAATAACGAGTGACATGGCACAGACACAGAATAACGAGTGCACACAAATCGTAAAATCTAACCNGATGATGCACAGGTCACTCGCGATAACGGTCTGATGAAGCGATCTGGACAGGTACGATAACGGGCAGCTGTCCAGCCATCCTGCATTTTTATTGATGGACGGATAGATTCACTTTTCAAAATCAGTGCAAAACGGGAAAAATTCATTGAGAGACTCGAAGGTAGGATAAATATAATCTCTTAAGTGATCACTCAGTTAACGAACCCTACCTGAGCTATTGATGAATGTATTTGAGTTTAATTTGAAAAAAAAACGCTCTGAGATGAATGCTTCAAGGGAGTAATTTCATTGACAACATTATCAACGAATGCTTTCAACTCGCTGCTCAGAATTAAGCAATTCACTGCTCATCTTGTGGGGATGATGTACAGGTCATTTAGCGGCGGGGAAGTATGGACGCCGGAAACTTTACCCTTCTCGCATTAAATTTTCAATTAACTCCCTCAATGATTTTCGATATCCG